GCTGGCATTACCAAGCCCAGTGTGCCCATGCTGAGTTGGTCTTCTAGTCTTTTCTTTCTCTCTTCTCCCCCCCCCCCACTTCTTCTCCTGCCTTCTGTTCTTCCTCCTCCTTCTGTACTAATAGGAGAGAAAGGTTGATTATGAGGTGAACGTGTACAATGTTATTGACCCTTCAGTCTCATGGACTTCTCCAGTAGAGAGTTTATCATTAGCAGAGACTTGGACCAAGTGGTCCAGCCTTAGCAGATGGTATCTTGTTCCTTAAAATGTCATTCTGTTCTTCATTGGGTTTCTGGACCACCTGGGTGTTAACAGCAACATTGGTAAGACTCTAGGTATTTTTCTCTTCCCTTCCATTCTTCTGTGATAGGTTAGAGGTCTGATTTGTGCAGGAGTAAAACTTCAGGCAAGGAAGAGAGTAATAAGTCTTAGGTCTTTGTTCTCCTCCTCCTCCTGTGTTACTTGTTCTGATTATCATTATATATTTTTAAAGATTTTATTTAGAGAGAGAGGAAGAGTTGTGAGTAGGGGGAGGGTCAGAGGGAGACCAAATCTCAGGCAGATTCTGTGCTGAGCAAGGAGCCCTATGCAGGGCTGTCATGTCACAACCCTGAGATCATGACCTGAGCAGACTTCAAGAGTCGGAGGCTTATGGGACGCCTGGGTAGCTCATTTCATTAAGTGTCTGCCTTTGGCTCAGGTCATGATCCCAGGGTCCTGGGATTGAGTCCCACATCGGGCTCCCTGCTCAGTGGGAAACCTGCTTCTCCCTCTGCCTGTTCTTCCTGCCACTTGCCTTGCTTCCCTTCCACTGAGTGAAGTCCTCTCACCCTGGTTCTGGGTACTTTGCAAGAATGTAGCAGCTCTAGAGCTACTTGTTGTGGGATAAAACTAGGAAAGGTAGCAAGGTAGAGCTTTTCAGGGAAGTATAGGACTTTCTTACTAACTCTTGTGCTTTGAAATCATTTAACTGCCTTTTTTTCCCCTCCATTGTTTAATTTTGTCTAGTGACTACTTATGTACAGAGGAGGTTATTTTCTAGATAAGAATGTCAAAGAGGATGGGATGTTGGCCCTTCTTGATTCTGCCAGGTCCTTCCAGACCTTTTTCTCAGTGGCAAAAAAGGAAGGGCTAGGTCAGGCACTGATTAAGGAGTCCAGAATCAGTGTTTGTCTTCTCAACTGAAAGCATACTGATTTTCTCATTGAGAATCAGTGATTCTGTAGTTTGCATGTGTGCAGTTGCAGGAGGGTGTGGTGGAGGGGTACAGCTGAGGGGTTTGGGAGGAGCCAGGTAATTTGAGATGCTAATTAAAATTCCTTGAAAGTCTAGGTAATTGAGCATTAAACCTTGCTGTGAGCCCAATTTTGCTTTTGCTTTAGAAATCACACAGAAAGAATACATTTGTATAGCACCTTATGGTCCATTTGATTTAGCTTATCTCATCTAATCTTTACATAAGATTTTTTTTTTTTTTTTTTTAAGATTTTGTTTATTGAGAGAAAGCGAGAGAGAGCACAAGTGGAGGGGAACAGAGGGAGAGGGAGAAACAGACCTCCATCTCAGGACGCTGGGATCATGACCAGACCTGAAGGCAGACACTTAATAGACTGAGCTGCTCAAGCATCCACAAGATTTTTTTTTTTTTTTAAAGATTTTATTTATTTATTTGACAGACAGAGGTCACAAGTAGGCAGAGAGGCAGGCAGAGAGAGAGGAAGGGAAGCAGGCTCCCTGCCGAGCAGAGAGCCCGATGCGGGGCTCGATCCCAGGACCCTGAGACCATGACCTGAGCTGAAGGCAGAGGCTTTAACCCACTGAGCCACCCAGGCGCCCAAGATTTTTTTTTTAAATGATGCCATGTGGGGCTTGAACTGACAACCTTGAGTCAAGACTTGAGCTGAGATAAAGAGTTAGATGCTCAACTGACTGAGCTACCCAGGAGCCCCTACATAAGCCATTTTTTAAGATTTTATTTATTTGACAGAGGAGAGAGAGAGAGGAGCCCAAGCAGGCAGAGCAGCAGGCAGAGAGAGAATTGGCTCCCTGCTGAGCAGAGAGCCCAATGTGGGACTCGATCCCAGGACCCTGGGATCATGACCTGAGCTGAAGGCAGACACTTAGTGACTGAGCCACCAGGCGCCCCAAGCCGCTGCCTTCTTTTTTTTTTTTTTTTTTTTTTTTCTTTTCTTTTTAAATGTTATTTATTTATTTATTTATTTATTTATATTTTTTATTTATTATTATTATTTTTTAAGATTTTATTTATTTATTTGACAGACGGAGATCACCAGTAGGCAGAGAGGCAGGTAGAGAGAGAGGGGGAAGTAGGCTCCCCGCTGAGCAGAGAGCCTGATGCGGGGCTTGATCCCAGGACCCTGAGATCATGACCTGAGCCGAAGACAGAGGCTTAACCCACTGAGCCACCGAGGCACCCCTATTTATTTATTTTCAAAGATTTTATTTATCCATTTGACAGAGATCACAAGTAGAGAAGCAGGCAGAGAGGAGAAAGCAGCCTCCCTGCTGAGCAGAGATCCCAATGTGGGGCTCCATCCTAGGACCCTGGAATCATGACCTGAGCTGAAGGCAGAGGCTTTAAGCCACTGAGCCTACCCAGGCACCCCACTGAGCCATCCAGGTGCCCCATCTTTTTTTTTAAGATTTTACTTATTTACTTATTTATTTGAGAGAGAGCACACGAGCAAGGAGGAGAGGTTGAAGGGAGAAGGAGAAGCAGACTTCCCAATGAGTAGGGAACCCGACTCAGGACTCCATTCCAGGATACTTAGTGACTGAGCCACCCAGGCACCCCCATAAGGTTTCTAATATAGGTTCATTGTTTTAGTTAAGCATAGAGAACAATTTGTCTGATCTAATAGGGATTTGAACCCAAGTCTCCTGATTTTTAAATAGCTCAGCATGTTGACTCCTGGCTAAAAGCTTATAAGATATAAAAGGTTAGACCTTGGGGTGCCTGGGTGACTCAGTCGGTTAAGTATCTGCCTTCAGCTGAAGTCATCATCTCAGGGTCCTGGGATCAAGCCCAGCTTTAGGCTCTCTGCTCAGCAGGGAGCCTGCTCCCCCGCCCCGCCCCCGCCTGCCTCTCTGCCTACTTGTGCTCCCTCTCTCTATCAAATAAATAAATAAAATCTTAAAAAAAAAGGTTGGACCTCTTCTTCTTTGTTGATGGACACCTTAAATTTTATAGTAAGTCAGTAGCAGTTTTATTCATAAGTCAGAGTTATCCTTATTGTTCCTTGGAAGCTTTAGCTTGGGGTTCCAGTACTAATTTATTTTGTCTTTTACCTAGCTGAAGTTGATCTGATTAAAGATGAAACATCTATAAAGGGTGTAGATAATTGGGCTTTTCTGGTTTTCCAGTTTTCTGGGTCATTTTATGTAGCAGATCTTCCTAACAGCTAGATGACATTTCCATTGCCTCCTATTTTGGGAAGAAGAATGAAAACCATCTGTTCCCTTTTTTTTTGCCACCCTGACTGACTATGGGGAAGAAGTTTTGCTGCTCTGCTTATTGGTAACAGAAGTATGTGGTCTATGGCCTATGTACGACTAAGGTCTATTGTCATAACCTTTCCTCTGAGCCCAGCTATATTCTGAAATTCTCAGGGCCCTTGATTATTTGCCTTAAACAATGATAATTAGAGCTTCACCTTGTTGCCCTTAATCCCATGTGTTGCTGCCTCATCATTCGTCCTTAAACATACACTGGAACCTGGGATCTTCCTGCTCAGGTGTTATTGCAGATCCATCCCATTAGGCTCCTCTTTTTAATTTTCTTTAATATGGCTAATCTTTATTCCCTTTGAATTTGTTAGAATTAGATTGTAGGTCTCTATCAGTAGTCTTTGTATATGAAGGTCAATATTTTCCAGTATGAATGGGGGTGGCTTGGGGAGTAGGGGGACGACACAACAGTCTGTCTTCCTGAGTGGTCATGTGTCTCCAGTGTGATCATTGATGAAGGTTATGGGGATGACAGACCCTTAAAAACTGATTTAACCTTTCAGAGTAGATTTTCTACAGATAGGTTCTTTTAGTCATTTTGTAAACATATTCTTAAAATCTTTCCTAAATTTAAATGGATAAAAGTAATAATACTTACGAGATTGAACTACACAATTATCTTACACATCTGCACTGATTAAATATTTGGTAAGTAAAACTCACTTTAGTAAGTAAATGCTAATAAATTCCTATTGAGTTGCAGCAGAAATCAAAATGAGGTAGGGATGCAGAATCATTATTTCAACATTGTATTGTCGTATCCTTAGCTGCCTTATTTCCATAGATCAACTCTTTACCTTTCTCTGAAATAATAAATAGAGGAGTAAAGCACCACAGATATGCTCTAGAAGTTCTTACCCTTTTAGCTGTACGGGAAGAATTATTAATCAAGCCCTAGACTCTCCAGTGAGTCTTATGTATCTCTTATGCTCTTTCTCTTTCAGCCATGGTATCAGATGAGACCCTTTTATCCTGATGGTTAAGTGTATCAAGAACAGATATATTTCCTGGAGAACTGACTAAGAAAAGGGACTAGAACAAGAATGGAGTATGCGGGGGCGCCTGGGTAGCTTAGTGGGTTAAGCCGCTGCCTTCGGCTCAGGTCATGATCTCGGGGTCCTGGGATCGAGTCCCGCGTTGGGCTCTCTGCTCAGCAGGGAACCTGCTTCCTCCTCTCTCTCTGTCTGCCTCTCTGCCTGCTTGTGATCTCTGTCTGTCAAATAAATAAATAAAATTAAAAAAAAAAAAAGAATGGAGTATGCATAAGGCCTCTATGAGTATGGAAGAAGAGGAAGGGATATTTAAAATCCCTATCCAAAAGGATTTAGTATCACAGAGCAAAAGGCAGGAGCTCATTGTCAGGTTTAGTTGGACTCAAGCCCCAATTGTTTCAGTGTGCTTGATAGAAATTGTGGGCCCTAGTGTGTGTGTATGTACACTTCTGATTGTGGTTTTGTTTATTCTTTCGACAGCATCAGGAATCAAGAGATCCATGCCGTCTGAGGTGAGTTTGATACTGATACATATTTCTGAAACTTTAATTCTGGAATAGAAGGATACCTGTTTAAGACATCTTTATTTTCTCGGGGCGCCCTGGTGGCTCAGTGGGTTAAAGCCTCTGCCTTTGGCTCAGGTCATGATCTCAGGGTTCTGGGATGGAGCCCCACATGGGGCTCTCTGCTCAGCAGGGAGCCTGCTTCCTCCTCTCTCTGCCTGCCTCTCTGCCTACTTGTGTTCTCTGTCAAATAAATAAATAAAATCTTAAAAAAAAGACATCTTTATTTTCTCCCTACTTGAATCTTGGAAGCTAGACAGGACTTTTACATCTCTTTGGTAAACTAGAGATTAAACAGCTACTTTTGTTGTAGTTTATTATAGATATTAATAATAGCTCGCATTGATTGAGCTTTTTTTTTTTTAAATGTATCAAAGGTAGTGTACCAAAGAGTAAATAATTTATCTAAGCGTCCTTTATTCTTATTTAATCTGGTAAACACTCCTGTGAGCTAAGTACCATTGCTATCCATGTTTTATAGATAAGTAGAGTGAGGATTAGAGGTTCTACAGTTGGCCCAAGGTCACACAATTAATAAGGCTGGGATTAAAACCCACATAGTTGTCACTAAAGCCTACTCTTTGGTTTTGCTGTTACTGCTTCCTGGTTGCATAGCTTCAGTGAATTTGAAGAACTTCTTTTAACCATATAGATGCTGTTAATTTCCTGAGTTTTTCTTTTCTGTGCAGAATATCTTCCATTTACTTAACTTTCTTCCTATTCAGTATTTCCCAAACCTCTTATTTCTTGCCTCTCTCCTGGGTTTTGTGACAGGATTTCAGAGTGCAGACCCCCTTTGGCCTGAGATTTTAGGTTTTTCTCTTAGAACCTCTTCCAAGATCTTTGAGATGATATACTGAGGGTTTTCTGATATTAAGGGCCTTAGAAAGAAGAGTAGAACTTGAATATCAGGCCCTAAGATCATGACACCCTATTTACACTGGCCTTTTTGCCTCTGGTTTATTAACTTAATGAGTACTAACATCACGAAGAATACCTTTGCGTCTTTTGTGTTTCATCTTGATGTGGGAAATAACCTTCTAAATTCTGCTCTACTGGTATTACTCCTTCCTTATTTTAGGGTCTATCCTGTGGGTGGAAAACAAAGCCATATCATGTTGCCAGGAGTCTCTTCAAGGCACTGAGGGCTCCTATCTCAGAAGAATCATCTTATTGCCTCAGCTTTTTAATTCCTAGGCTTGCAGTACTTGAATTTGCAAGTGGCTAGATCATTTTTACTGGTGAATGCACTTTGAGCAGGTAGTATTCATGTCAGGTTGAAAGTTACAGGGGTAGAGGTTTCTGAAAGAAAGCTGGTGAAAAAAGATGGGGGTCTGTGGAACTACGTTTAACCTGCCTTTTGTGAACTAAGGTTTGTTCTTTTTCCTGGAGCAGCTGTTTTATAGTTCTCTTGTCTCTACTTTTCCTTAATGTCACTCATTTTTTTATGTCCCCCCCCCCTTTTTTTTCCTTGAGGATCAAAAGTGAAATATGTGTCCCTTGGAATTTTCTTTGTTCTTTTAGCCAGTTAATTCATTTGGAAACAACACTAAAACTGTGTGGGTCTTGTGAAGATTTTACAAAATATTTGTAACGTAGAACGGGTGGGTTGAGTGTTCAGTTTGTTTTAATGTATCATGGTAGCTATATGGTGTATTACATGGGGATCATATGCTAATTTTGACTCTTCTTTTTCCAGGTGCCTTATGCCTCTGGCATGCCCATCAAGAAAATAGGCCACCGAGGTGTTGATTCCTCAGGAGAGACGACGTATAAAAAGGTGTGTCTGGGTGGAACACTTTCATTTTAGTCCAGGAAGGGATAGCTCTGTCCCGTTGGTTTTATTCTCCACATTTTGTCTCATTTCTTGATATCCTAAGCCTTTTGCACAAGAGCTATCATACACCTTGGACTTTAGAGTTTACTTTCGGTTCTGGACCACTTTGGGAGGTGCTCAGGCTTCCCAAGGACAGTGTTCAACCGTTCCATTGAGTGTTTATACCTTGTTTGATACAGTGTGTGTAGATATCTTGGAGTTCTTGGAGTTCTGGCCCATGTAAATTTTTCTTGTGGGTGTTCTCTGTCTTTATTCCATTGTCAGGTACCTGACCCGTTCTGGGAATGGGCTCGAGGCCCTTGTCAATCCAGCAGTTACTTATTGAGCTCTATTTATGTGCTGAACATTGAGACAAAAAGATGAGTTTCTAGGCTAATTGGAGAGGCACACACTTCAAAATCTAGTTACATATATATGTATGTGTATGTGTGTGTATATGTATAAAATTTGGGGGGCAGAGGGTAATCTCTAACAGGGCACCTGGCTGGCTCAGTAGAGCATGCAGTTCTTGATTTCAAGGTCATGAATTTGAGCCCCACATTGGGCATGGAGCCTACTTAAAGTAAATTAATTTCTGACCCTAACATGGGGCTCAAACTCATGACCCTGAGATCAAGAGTCACATGCTTTACTGACTGAGCCAGGCAGGTACCACTCTAGTTAACATTTTAGTGCCTAATGACGACTAAGTAGAAGTACAAGTAATTTAATACTTGGTAAGAGTCGGGGATAAGGGAAATCATTTAGAACAAAACTGTCCAGTAGAACTTTCTACAGTGATTGAAATGTGCTATAGTCTGTGCCCTCCAATAGTAGCCACTAGTCATACTTGAATGTGGCTGGTAAGACTGAAAAGGCAGATTTTCAGTTTTTATTTTAATGAACTTAAGTAGCTATCTCTGGCCAGTGGCAAGTATATTGGACAGCACAGATCTAGATGATTTGATATTTTCCCATGGGATTATAAGAGTGAGGTTCTTGAATTCATTGTTTTTGATTATAGTGTGATCATTTTAAACCTAAACACTTCTTTCAGAAATAATTTTAGTTTTTCAGGCTTTCTCTTCAATTAGGAACTTTTTTTTGTCAGCCTGTCGTCCTTGGGACATGAGTCAGGCTCTGCCCTAAAGGACTGAAGCTTCTGTAGCCAGGTAGTCCTTCGGAATATCAGTCCGTATTTTAGTTACAGTCTATTTTTCATGAATAAAATGTTTGGAGAGCCCCAGACATTCTGCACGCAGGAATCTTTGTAGTGAGACTTAAAATTTTTCTCTCAATACAACGTATCTTCCAAATGTTGATATGGATTGTGGCTTCCAGCTATAAATTTGGAGAAGCAGGAACACCTTGCCTAGCTCAGGCTGACTCAGTCCTGCCTTTGCTACTGTGTATTTTCATACCCTTGCAACCTTTAGCAGGCTTAACAGCCATGTAAAGCAAGTAGATGGAGGAATTGGACTGCCACAGCTTAGTCTGAAGTACCAGAAGTGCCATTTGCTTTTGAGTGCTTCTTCTGGCTCTTCCCTCCTGAGTTTTTATTGTTCTGATCAGATTTAATACTAGAAACTTTCCTATTTTCTCTTTTGTTTCTCAGACAACCTCATCTGCCTTGAAAGGTGCCATCCAGTTAGGCATTACTCACACTGTGGGGAGCCTGAGTACCAAACCAGAGCGTGATGTCCTCATGCAAGACTTCTATGTTGTGGAGAGTATCTTCTTCCCCAGGTACAAAGGTTAATGTTCAGGGGAATACCGTGGGAAGTGTGGCTTTTTCATATCAACCTCAGGCCAGTTTTCGGGGTTCAGGTCTAATTTAGGCATGTGCCTAATGTCCAGTCCTTGACTTGATCTTGGGGTGATGTAGGAATAGAGAATTTAGAGAACAGATGGTGTCCTTTGAATGCTTCCATAAGCCTCCGGCCCTAGGAGTGAGCCCTAAAAAGCAATTCAGTGCACTGGGTAGGGGCAGTCTGACTCCCTGTGCCATGTCTTAATCCCCATGTTGTGGCTTTGTCCCACTAAGTAACTGACTCATCTAATCCCTCTCTTTCTCTCAAAAGGGGTGTATTGACCTGCCTCTGGGTTACTCTGAGTGTCTGCCCAGGGTGGACTTCCCGGATGACAGGGACTGGTAAATTACAGCTTTTTCTATTTTAACCCTACAGTGAAGGGAGCAACTTGACCCCTGCTCATCACTACAATGACTTTCGGTTCAAGACCTATGCACCTGTTGCCTTCCGTTACTTTCGGGAGTTATTTGGTATCCGGCCTGATGATTACTTGGTAAGCTCTCGTTCCCAGGACTCTATGACTCCAGTATCAGAGGCATCCTCCTAAAGGAAGACCCTTTCTCCAGTCTTGCTCTAATATACCTTTAGAACAGAATTGCATCTGTACTTAATTTCTGGTCGGACAGGCCCTGGTATTTCTGAACTTCTTACTCTCTTCTTCCTGGGCCCCAGTACTCTCTCTGCAGTGAGCCGCTGATTGAACTCTGCAACTCTGGGGCTAGTGGTTCCCTCTTCTATGTGTCCAGCGATGATGAATTCATTATTAAAACGGTTCAGCATAAAGAAGCGGAGTTTCTGCAGAAGCTGCTTCCAGGATACTACATGGTGAGGGAAGAGGAGCACTGGCCACCTCTGCTGCCCACTCCACTCCTAGACAAGGCTGGGGGGCTCTCTTGGGACACCTGCATGGCTCAGTCAGTTAAGCATCTGCCTTATGCTCAGGTCATGGTCCAAAGGTCCTGGGATCAAGCCCTGTGTAAGGTTTCCTGCTCAGCGAGGAGCCTGCTTCTCCCTCTCCCTGGCCCCTGCTTGTGCTCTCTCTCAAATAAGTAAATAAAATCTTTAAAAAAGGAAAAAAGGCTGGGGGGCTCTCTTCAGCAGGGCAACACAAAGTCAGCATTTCTGTCTTAAAGATGTAGTTTGTTTTGGGGCTTTTTGCCCCATCTCTTTGGCGTCTCTGGGGCTAAAAGGGTTTTTTTGTGTCTTTTTTTTTTTAAAGATTTTATTTATTTGAGGGCGATAACGAGAGAGAAAGAGCACACGAGTGGGAACAGTGGCAGAAGGAGAGGGAGAAGCAGACTCCCTGATGAGCCCCACAGAGGGCTCCATCCCAGGACCCTGGGATCATGACCTGAACTGAAGGCAGGCACTTAACTGACTGAGCCACTCGGGGACCCCATCTGTCTTATTTTAAGTGTTATTTGACTTAGACCATCCTGCCCAAAGTTGAAATTCAGTGATAATTTGTTTTCTGTTCTTAATCTACCTCCTACACTAGGGAATGAAGTTGTTACTTCTACTCCATCTTAACTCTGAGTGACTGCTCTCAGGGCTTCTGGAGAAGTTAGTATTGCTTTGCATCACAGCCACAAGAATATACTATACCAAGGGCTTAGAGTTAAGACTTTTTCAACATGATCTTTTCTTAAGCCTCTCTAAAAGAATACCCATCATATATTGAGTATCCTGACTGATTACTCTGTTGGACAGTTTGTGGCTCCATCAGGTCTGTGGCTCCATTAGTTAAGCATCTGCCTTCGACTTAAGTCATAATCTTTCATCCTTGGTGGTGCTCCAATCACTGAGGTAGATGTATTGGGAAATTGTAAACAAATTTGATGTGGGCTTATGGACAGATAGATTGTACCTGAATCCCATATAGCAGACAGAGGAAAGGGGGTGGCAGCCTTTACCCTTGGGTTTCACTGAAAATCGTCTGACTTGCTCTCCTGCTTCTTTTTACTTTTGTGCTCTCAGAACCTCAACCAGAATCCTCGCACTTTGCTGCCTAAATTCTATGGACTGTACTGTGTGCAGGCAGGTGGTAAGAACATTCGAATTGTGGTGATGAACAATCTCTTACCACGGTCGGTCAAGATGCACATCAAATATGACCTCAAGGGCTCAACCTACAAACGGCGGGCTTCCCAAAAAGAGCGAGAGAAGCCTCTCCCCACCTTTAAAGACCTGGACTTCTTACAAGATATTCCAGATGGTCTTTTTTTGGATGCTGACATGTACAATGCTCTATGTAAGACCCTACAGCGTGACTGTTTGGTGAGTTTATCATATTTTCTTCCCTGTTAAATACCAAAAATCTCAGCCACTAAAACAGCTTATTGTTCTTAAGGTTCAAATCGGTGCAAGATGGGACTTGGTTCCTTAGCTCCATATGTCCCAGACTTCATTTAAAGTAACTTTTGCATTAAGTTATTGCTGAGCCTTTACATTTTGCATTCTGTTATCCTCCCCGACCTGGCTTCATTTTCTTTACCTCTCCTAGGCCTCATAAAAAGCTCCTTATTTTCATACCAGTACCATCATTCCTCAGATCTTGGTCCTGCCTGCCAGATTCAAATTTATATCTTGGAACCTGAGTGCTGCTGAAGGAAATCACACACCTGGGTCTATTCCACCAGCATCTCTACAGGTTGACGCTATCTGGCCTCAGTATTATTCACCACTCTACCTCCTGTTCCTCTCAGCACAGATGTCACATGATTGCAGTCTCCAAACCATTTTCTGACTGCTATCCCCCAGCCTTGTTTCTAAGCAGACTACCCCTCTGTTCTATTACATACCATCCATTTGTCCCCAGTTTATAAACATGTCTACGCTTACCCATCTTTAATCTCCTTTTTGCCCAATGTGATGGCTTCTTACAGGTCACTTTTTCAGAACTGTTTCTTTAGGGTTCTGTTTCACATCTTGCTTCCTTTCCCTTCCCTGGCTTCAGCCTCTATCAGCTGTTTTCTTTCTGGATGTAAGCCAACTTTTATCTCTTCCATCTTAAGGTTAGGAGGATTTTTTTCTTTCTTCTACTTCTTTTTTTGTTTGTTTAAGATTTTTATTTATTTGTCAGAGAGATGACAAGTAGGCAGAGAGGCAGGCGGAGGGGGGAAGCAGGCTCCCTGCTGAGCAGAGAGCCTGATGCAGGGCTCAATCCCAGGACCCTGAGATCATGACCTGAGCTGAATGCAGAGGCTTAACCCACTGAGCCCCCCAGGTGCCCCAAATAAATCTTTTTAAAAAAAGAATCCAGGGACGCCTGGGTGGCTCAGTTGGTTAAGCAGCTGCCTTCGGCTCAGGTCATGATCCCAGCGTCCTGTGGGATCGAGTCCCACATCGGGCTCCTTGCTCGTCAGGGAGCCTGCTTCTCTCTCTGCCTCTGCCTGCCATTCTGTCTGCCTGTGCTCGCTCTCTCTCCCTCTCTCTCTCTGACAAATAAATAAATAAAATCTAAAAAAAAATAATAATAATAAAAAAAAATAAAAAAAGAATCCAGGCTCCTTAATATGACACATCAGGCCTGTCACTGTTTTGCCTCTGTCAACCTCTGTAATCTGCCACACCTGTCCTTTGCATTTTCTGTTTTAGCAGTGCCAAATTATATCTCCCTGCACATAATGTGCTGTTTCATGCTTCCAGGTGTTAGAATATTCCTTCCTTTATTTATTCGGACTTATTTCTAATTTTTCATAAACTTACTTACGTATCACCTCCTGGCCTCCTCCATACTACCAATCGTGCAGTTGCTTCTGTTGTTGCAAGTTTTAGACTGTATTGGATTTATTTTTGCATTTGTTTTCTTTCCTAAATTATAATACTGTTGAGAACAGAAACACTTTTTTTTTTTAAGATTTTATTTATTTACTTGACAGAGATCACAAGCAGGCAGAGAGGCAGGCAGAGAGAGAGAGGTGGAAGCAGGCTCCCTGCTGAGCAGAGAGCCTGATGTGGGGCCGATCCCAGAACCCTGGGATCATGACCCGAGCTGAAGGCAGAGGCCTTAACCCACTGAGCCACCCAGGTGCCCTGAGAACAGAAACTCTTGAGTATCTTTGTATCCCTGTAAACAGGCACAATGCCTGCAGGTGGTAGGGCTTCAGGAAATACTGACCTGAATCAAAGCTGGTCATATAAAGTCCTGCAACAGATTCACTCCATCATGAAATGTACTTTGACCAGACTGTCCTTGTGGATTTTTTTTTTTTTTTAAAGATTTTATTTATTTGTTTGACAGAGATCACAAGTAGGCAGAGAGAGAAGGGGAAGCAGGCTCCCCACTGAGCAGAGAGCCCGATGTGGGGCTCAATCCCAGGACTCTGGGATCATGACCTGAGCCGAAGGCAGAGGCCTTAACCCACTGAGCTACCCAGGCGTCCCTACTTGTGGATTCTTTTTTTTTTTTTCCTTTTTTTTTTTTTTACTTAGGCAGGGGGCAGAGAGAAAGGGAGAGAGAATCTTTTTTTTTTTTTTTTAGATTTAATAGAGATCACAAGTAGTCAGAGAGGCAGGCAGGAGGGAGAGGAGGAAGCAGGTTCCCTGCTAAGCAGAGAGCCCGATGCGGGGCTCGATCCCAGAACCCTGGGATCATGACCTGAGCCGAAGGCAGAGGCTCCAACCCACTGAGCCACTCAGGCGCCCCTCTACTTGTGGATTCTTTACAAATATGTATTCCACGTTCTCTTGAATACAGGGCTCTTTTCACAAAGAGATACAAGGAAAGAACAAAGAGGGTGTTGTGGGCTAGGCAGTGGCCTAATATATATTTACTCAAATAGAACAAAGCTGAGGGGATAGAAATAATGAGTGACTAGAGGAGGTTAATATATTCTTCCCCAGGGAGTAGGAGGAGCAAAGGATAAGCCTATACTTAACCCTGAAAGTCAAGAATAATTGAATCTTGGGCACCTGGCTGGCTCAGTTGGGGGAATGCACAACTCTTGATCTTGTGGTTTTGAGTTTGAGCCCCATGTTGGGTGTAGAGATTACTTGAAAATAAAATCTTTAGGGGCCCTTGGGTGGCGCCGTCAGTTGAGCATCCAACTCTTGGTTTTGGCTCTGCCCCTCTCCCTCCTCCTCCCTGTGTGCCTCTCTCTCACTCTCTGTCTCTCTCTATCTTTGAAATCTTGAAGAAAAAAAAAAAAAAATTTAAAAAAAAAAAAAAAATGAGGGCGCCTGGGTGGCTCAGTTGGTTAAGCGACTGTCTTCGGTTCAGGCCATGAACCCGGAGTCCCAAGATTTAGTCCCACATCTCACTCCTTGCTCAGTGGGGAGTCTGCTCCTCCCTCTGACCCTTCCCTGTCTCATGCTCTCCCTTCCTCTCCCTCTCTTTCTCTCTCTCTCTCAAATAAATAAAATCTTTCTAAAAAGTTAAAAAAAAAAAAAAAAGATGGGGCGCCTGGGTGGCTTAGTGGGTTAAAGCCTCTGCCTTTGGCTCAGGTCATGATACCAGGGTTCTGGGATGGAGCCCCGCATCGGGCTGTCTGTTCAGCGGGGAGCCTGCTTCCTCCTCTTTCTCTGCCTGCCTCTCTGCCTACTTGTGATGTCTGTCAAATAAATAAATAAAATCTTTGGGGGAAAAAAAAGATTAAAAAAAAATAAAGAATAATTGAATCAGGAAAGCTGTGAGATCCTGAAAAAAGTCCTCATACTTCCCAAGGCTCAGAATGTGTTTTTGTTTTTTTTTTTTTTTCCTTCCTTTAGGTGCTGCAGAGCTTTAAGATAATGGACTATAGCCTTTTGATGTCGATCCATAACATAGATCATGCACAAAGAGAGCCCTTAGGCAGTGAAGTGCAATCCTCAGCTGACACTCGCCGACCAGCCCCCCAAAAGGCTCTCTATTCCACAGCTATGGAATCTATCCAGGGCGAGGCTCGGCGAGGTGGCACCATGGAGACTGATGACCAGTGAGTGGGCTCAGGGGCAACAGGGTGGAGAACATAGAGTCATGGTATTTTTTTTCTTGGAGAAAGGGTGCAGCTCCTGGCATAAGAATAACTCCGACTCAGCATTTAAGCTGACAGTATTAACACTTACAAAACTATGGAACTAACCTTAAGAATGTAAAAGGAAAAGAAGAGGTCTTAAGTTGGGGATCTGTAGTACATCTGGGAAGGAGAGCTATTTAAAATTAAAACACCTTTCAAAAAGAATATACTCAGAGCCTTAGACACATGTCTGCCTGTTCTATTAGAACTTCACCAGAAGTAATTTACTATAGGCCGCTTTATGGAAGGTGCCTTTCTCACCATAATGGATCTATCTATCAAGGAAGTATATTTACTGAAGCATCAGAAATGTCTTGTAAGTGGTTTCATTTTTAACGTATCCTTTACTGTGACTCAAGAAGAGTGTCCTAGTGGGTGTGAGTTAAAATATGAAAGTACTGAGGAAGTGCAGAGTTACCTGAGCATTTTCAGTGTTGCTGAGTAGGGGTGACTTTAGATTCTCTTTGGTAGAATTGGGGTCAGAGAGCAGGCGAGTGAGACTTGGAGAGAAAGAGGTTATAATTCATACTCCAGAGTGGCTCTTGGGGTTGGAAGAAGGTTTTCACTCTTCCCCAGCTTACGAAAGATGGGACAGTTATGTTTAGATCTCTGTTCCCTATCCTGATCTGACTCGAGGTGAGGAGAAGCCCTCATGTGCCAGGCCAGGGGTTTTCTTACTGTTTTCTTCTTGTCTTTTGGAACAGTATGGGTGGCATCCCTGCCCGCAACAGTAAAGGGGAAAGGCTGCTGCTTTATATTGGGATCATTGACATTCTCCAGTCTTACAGGTGAGGAGCATATGGATCCCAGATAAGGGGACAGAGTGTTTGCAGATAACCATTCACACATTTCTCCTTTAGCTGGGTTTGTCACTAAATTCTTCCTGAAACAGGAACAGCGGGTTGGATTCTAGTGGCTTACCTCCTTGGGTTTCAGATAGTGGTTTATTTCCTTGATTTTTGCCTGTCTCCCTGGCTTCGCTACCCTGCCACCTTCTGAAACATAACATATACCTCTGTGGAGAGCTGAGTCAGTCCTCAGAAGCACCGGGGTAGAACACACCATCTGTCTGGCTCTTTGTGAAAAACTTGTGAGATGAATCATACTCCACATTGGGGTACAGCTGGAAACATGTTCCTCTTTTCCTCGGAGGAAAAACAAGAGGATCACTGTGTCCTGTGCTATTAACCTATGGAACTGAGGCAGTGAAGTGACAGGGAGAATTTGGAAATGCTAGATCCCAGTTTTACCCCTGTAAACAGGTTTCAACTACTAGTGAAGACTGGACAGACCTTGGTTTACTGTTTCACAGTATTATCATCCGGTTTTAACTCCTGTCTTCCAGGCATGCTCATCTGTCCCTTCACTGTTCCTTTTGCGACAAATGTTCTTATCCCTGATTTGCCAGGGACATATTAAGTTCCCTTTTTCAATAGGGGAGGTAATGAACTTCCCTAGAAACAGCTTTGATCGCTGTCCTGAACGAGTACTACTGTGTCTGTTCTTTAGAAAGCGAGTGTAATAGAGGGAGTGCTTTCTCAGCTTCTTTAACTTCATAAAAGAAATAACTGTCATTCATTTAAAAACTTGGTGACTGTGCGATACACATTTTTCTTGGCAGGTTTGTTAAGAAGTTGGAGCACTCTTGGAAAGCCCTGGTACACGATGGGGTGAGTAACAGTTTGCTAGTGGCTCTCCTCCTGGCTCCTTCAATTGTGATTTGCACCCTCAATTTCTTCTTTCTGTCTTACTTCATTTGTGGGTTCTGCCTTTCTGTTAGGGTCTCAGCCTAGAGGAAAATAGCCCTTGGACTAAATAGCGATCCTCTTGCCGGGCCTTCCCCCTCTTTAACTCTGCAGCCATCTCTTCTGCTCTGTAGGACACCGTATCGGTGCATCGCCCAGGCTTCTATGCTGAACGGTTCCAGCGCTTCATGTGCAACACAGTGTTCAAGAAGATACCCCGTAAGTGGCTTCTACCAGATGACCCCCCAATGACTCCCTTACTCCAGGAGATGGGTGGGCAAGACACCTCTGTCAGGGAACTGCCAGAGCCTCTTCTGCTCCACCCACATCCCATGAGAGCTGCTGCCCGTCTTTATGTCAGTCACTCTGTCTGTCCCAGTGGTTTCCGAGTTGCTGCTTTTCCCCTGGCTCTCCCTTCGTGTGTCATTGAGGTGAGGGGCATTTCTGGGAAATTGGTGGGATTTGGGCAGGGTTGGGGGGGTAGGGAGTGTCATTGTGGGAGCAGGATCCATGCCATAGGCTGAGATAGAGCCAGACTTCTAGACAGAGATAGGCAAGCATATTACCAGTCTTCTGTTTTCTCTTCACATCCCCAGGGCCAAGGAATTCTCAGACTAGGATCAAAGGGTCAGAGAAGCATTTACTGATTGTATTTAGCAGTCGTTCTTACTCTCTTCCCTCAACTTTCTTGGTTGGAAAGTGCCAGTATTCTTCTTTTCCAGCCTTCCAGTGCTGCTGCCATTGGCAGATTTCCAACTCCTTCTTCCCCTCTCCTCATCAGAGGCCTCAGTTGTCCCTCAGTGTGGCAGAGAGGACTTAGGCATGCCAGACAGTATTAAGAAACATGGGAAAATCCCTTCAAAGTCTTTTCAAAGTGGCATATAAGCAAGTGTAAAGTATCATGGTGCTGTGTGCGTGAATGCTACAAGCACGTAGAGTGAAAGGGTCATCTTCGTCAGCTTGAGCTGGAGGATACTGTTAAAGAACAAGGGAGTGACGGAATGGAAGACACCTCATCGGGTGGAAGCAAGCCAAGGAGGTTGTGTGTAGCGGGGCCAAGATATGTATGTGTCTGCTTTCCTCTAGGTTCTCTGCTTTTCAGAGTGAGGTGAACTGAGATGCACACCCTCTCTCTAGTTCATAGAGCCTGTCTTTGTTGACATTAGTCCTTCTTCCCGCTTTGCAGAGCATCTTTGGGTCTGTGTTGGGGATGCTAGCGATTTGTATCTGTGTCTCGATGACGGTTTCTCGGGTGGGTGCTAAGTAGGCTTTCTCTTTCCCTTTTGAAGTGAAGCCCTCTCCTTCCAAAAAGTTTCGGTCTGGCTCATCTTTTTCTCGGCGAGCAGGCCCCAGCGGCAACTCCTGCATTACTTACCAGACATCGGTCTCTGGGGAGCACAAGGCACAAGTGACAACCAAGGCGGAAGTGGAGCCAGGTCAGCGCCAGGGCTGGGGTTCCCATGTGATTGGGGACTCCCTCCCTCCCTCTGAGCCCTAGATTATCTGCCTAGAACCTCTACTCCCCATTCATATCCAGGAAAAGCCAAGTTACACTTTTTTCCCTCTGTATTTCCCCCACCCCGTTTTGTCTTCTTTTTTATTTATTGATTTTCTTCCCTTTTCTTTTTTCCAGGCGTCCACTTCGGTCGTCCTGATGTTTTACCTCAGACTCCACCTTTGGAGAAAATCAGTGAGGTCTCGACTCTTCCTGACCCCTATTTCTCACCTGTAGTTGGAGAGACTTTGCAAATGCAAACTACAAGGTTGGTTCCTTGGCCCCTTTCTTCATGTTCTCCTTTCATCTCTCTCTTCAGGTCCTTGGGAACCTCCATAATTTTGTTTTTTCGAGAGATCATTGTCTTTTGCTCTTCACTAGATTTTTCTGGGTTTACTTTCCTTTAGTTCATCTTTACTGACTTGAAGGAATGTGTCAACATCTCTGCATCTTTAAGGGGTGTGCAGACTATTCTGATAGAATGTGCCCCAACTAACCCTTTATCTCCTGGTGAGTTAGGTGAGAATTCTCAGCTTACTTTGTAAGCCTGGAAAAAGATTCCTGGGCAGGGAAGAAAATGAACAGTGAGTCTTGTAAAAGGATACATTCTAAAGGTTGTGGTTTAATTTTGTTAGATGGTGTGTTGATTATCTAGTCCATCATAATAAATTAACCCAAAACTTAGTGGATTAAAATAACAAACACATATCATAGCTTCTGTGGGTGCAGCTTAGCTGGGTCCTCAGGCTCAAGGTCTTTCATGAGGTGTTAGCCAGGGGCTCCCATCTCATCCGAAGGCTCAACTGAGAGGCTTCACTTCTAAGCTCCTTTATATGCTTGTTGGCAGGGTTCAGTTCCTTGTGGGTTGCTGGACAGTGGGGCCTCCCATGGTTTTTTGCAACATGAGCCTCTCCTTAGGACAACTCAGAACATTGCAGCTGGCCTCCCTCAGAGCGAGCAAGTGAGAGTGCATGCACCTATCCAGAAGCCATAATCTTTTTGTGACCTAATCTCAAAATTGACCTCCTATCACCTGCGCTGCATTCTAGTCACTAAATCTAGCCCACACTCACAAGGAAGGGATTACACAAAGCTGTGAATACCAGGAAGCAGAACTCATAGGGTGCCCCCTAAAAAGCGACCTTTCGCAGTCCATCTTCTGGCACCCAATGCTTCCTGTCCCTCCCTGTGCGAAATGCATTCATTTGCTCCAGTGGTCTTCAAAAGTTTGATCCCATTACAGCAGCCGCTTAAATTCCAGAATTTTGTCATCTGAATTAGGTCTAGGTTTGGAGGAGCTCCCCAGGTACTGTTCCTTGAGTACAGTTGCTCTTAGTCTTTGGACCTGTGAAACTAGAGACAGCTGTTTTCTCCCTACACACCCAACAGACAGTGGTGAGGCAGTAAGTAGATAACACTGAACACATTCCTGTACAAAGAGAAGAGTGAGGGAGGCACAGAGGAGTCACTGGTGCATAGCTAGTCCAAAATCCAGCAATTGTTGAGTTTCTTTGATCAGGTGAAATACAGGGAAAAAGCTTGGGAGTAATTCTCCCATGACTCTTTACTCCACTCTTTGACCTCTTGGTTTTGCTTTCTGGGTGTTCCTTTTTCATGAAAGCCAGAATGTGTTTGCAGCTAGTAGTTTTCTCAGCCTGCTTCCTATTTTGGTGTCCAGCAGTTTCTTCCTTTTACACTGTGTATGCCCCTTTCAGTCCAAGCTGTGAATGTTTCTGCTGTTATAATGCCCTCAAAGATTTTGTGGTCCTCCTGTGAGTCTCAGTAAGATTCAGTCTCCTAGATAAAAGCCACACCCACAGATACCCTCTTCATAAGCCCTGTACTGCTTAGAGATCCTGTTAAGTTGAGAGGATCTGGAAGACTTTAATCTTTTTGAATGGCCTTTTGTATGATTGAGTAGTACTCTAAGGAACCAACTTTGATTTTTCTGAAGTCTTAGAAAATGTTTTATAGTCATACCCTTGGCTTTGTCTCTAGACCGCATTTTCCTGGTAGTGCCCAGGTTTTGTGCTTGCTCATAAGCTGTTTCTTAATTTTAGCATTGTTTGCTATCTGGAGGGACTCAGAATTTTCAAAACCATCAGGTCCTGAAAGTCCTTTTATTTAATAATCCTTCCCTTAATTTTTTTCTTCTCGTTTTACTGTAAGCATTAAGAGGGAACCAGGTCGGTCGGGTGGTGGCGAGGGAGAAGGAACCACGTGGCACCTTTAGCACTTTGTTTAGAATTCTCCTTAGGTAGATCACCCAATCCGTTAGACATGTATTCTGCTTTTCACATAACTGCATATGACATTGTTGCAAAACTTTGTTCCACTACATTACAGGGGTGCCCTTTCTTTCAGTTTCCCATAAGATTTTTCTCACTTTCCGTTGAGCCCACACTGGCAACTCCCTCATCAAGCCTAAGATTCTGCAGTATGTTCATGGCCCTTCTAGACTTTCACTAAAACTCTCCTTAAAGCCCATTTCCCTCTTCCAAAGCCTGTTCCACTTTTTAGTTCAGTAGCACTTTACTTCCACGTTCAAAAATTTATATTATTTATTGTGTAACAAATTACTCTCAATTTGGCAGCTAAAAACTACAACATTTATTATTTCAGATTTTATGTGGCTTGACTCTGTAAGTGTGACTTAACTGGGTGCCACTGGTTCAGGGTCTCTCAGGAGGTTACAGTAAAGCTGTGAGTTAGGGCAGTAGTCTCATCTGGAGGCTTGCCTTGGGGGAGAATCAACTTCTAAGCTCATTTACGTGGTTGTTAGCAAGATTCAGTTCCTTGTAGGCTGTTGGCCTGTGGTCCTCCCTCAGTTCCTTGTCACATGTTCTCTCCATGTGGCAGCTAGCTTCCCTCAGAGCAAACAGTTAGTAAGAGAACTCGAGCCCAAGAGGAAGCTAGGTAGGGTCTTTTTGTAACCTAATCTCAGAATTGATGTTCCATCACCTGGCCTACATTTTGTCCTCTGGAAGAGAGTCAATAAATCCAGCCCCCATTCAAGAGGAGAGAATTACACAATGGCACAAATATCAGGCAGCAGTAATCACTGAGTGCCTACTACACCTAGGAATTGAAGAAAGAAGGGGAGGGTATCAGGAAATATTTTTGTAGTACTCATGAAACTAAATAGTTAATTAAAACAACATGCTTCTAAGTCTGGTAGTTTCTTAGCCTCTTTCTGAATCCTAAGTTGATCCTGAAGTGAAATATGGAGAAGCATTACAAGATTTGACTTGAGAGGATTGTCCTTTCTCTCTCTCTCTTTTTTAAATATTTTTTTTATTTATTTGACAGAGATCGCAAGTAGGCAGAGAGAAAGGAGGAAGCAGGCTCCCCATGGAGCAGAGAGCCCGATGTGGGGCTTGATCCCAGGACCTTGGGATCATGACCCGAGCTGAAGGCAGAGGCTTTAACCCACTGAGCCACCCAGGCGCCCTTTCTCTCTCTCTCTTTTTTTTTTTTTTTTTAATTATTAATAACATATAACGTATTATTTGTTTCAGGGGTACAAGTCTGTGATTCATCAGTCTTACACAATTCACAGCACTCATCATAGCACATACCCTCCCCAATGTCCATCACCCAGCTGCCCCATCCCTCCCACTCCCTCCCTGTCCTTTCTCTTTCTTATCTTCTAATTCTTCTCCTCTCTGCCTCCATTTTTTTTTTCTTCTGCTAGTTCAACCCTCTTGGAAAAGCCTGAAGTTGCAGAATCAGAGTTCACCCATGTGAGTGTCTGGGATGTGGGGGAGGTGAATGCTTGCTTTGAAGGGTATAAAGAGGATTACTGATGAAGTGGAACAGGGAGTTAATTTGCAAGGTTAGAGGGACCAGGTACCCCTTCAATCTTGCCTTTTTAAATTTTGTAGGGACCTTGTACTTGGAAGTGAAGGATGAAATAGAAAACTTAATTTTGCCAGTCAAGCTGGAATGAACTTGAATTCCCTTCCTCCCTCCTCATTTCATACTCCACATCCTTAACCTTATACCCTTACCCTTTCCAGTGAGCAGAAAAATTCAGAAGACCTGGAACAAGATTCTGCCAGGTTGGTGATCCCAAGAAGCCAGCCCTTGCCCCAGCAATGCTGAATTTTCTTCTTCGTGGTCATCACAAAAGGAATATAATGGAGGCTAGGGGAGCTCTCTGCCTCCTTCCTGAAGAAGAACCTCTTCTCCTTCCCCTTCCTTATGAATGGGCACCAGTGCCTCAGACAGTTGAGGACAGCAACATCTTCTCCACTTCTGAGTTAGATGGCACAAGTTTTCAAGGGGCCAGCCTTGGCTTCCACAACTGCATTGTTTTCAAACCCCCATTCTTCCTGCTGGAAGTGGGGTTGCTGGATTTGGTGGTTTTCTTCCTCTTCATCTACCTTTCACCGGGAGCTGGACTCTTAAATTTCCTCAGGCAGACTGGCTGGCACATTATCTCCACCTTCTCACTTTCTCTGGAAGAAGATCCTTGTAATCTCTGTAAAGGTTTTGGGGATAAGGGTGTTAAGCCAACTCCCACCTTCCTTTTTTTTTTTTTTTTTTTTTTTTCCTTAAAAAAAGGAAAAGAAAAACTAGCACACAGCACACAATTTGAAGCCAGTTAGTTTCAAATCAAAACTGCAGAAGTGTCAGGAGAGATGCCTATTTGGGGGCTCCCTCAGAACCCCCTGGTGTTTGAGAAATGGAAGTGTGGAACTGCTTTGCCAGGAGCAGCTCCTCTTTAACTCCTCCTCTCTTGATGAATTTCTTAAGGCTGAAGGAATGGAGAGAGTGGGAACATGGGGTAATCTTTATCCCTTTTGTTGAAACAGTAGGGCAGTCATGGGACCAGAAGATCAGAGCCCTTGTTAAGCAGGACCCTGCTCACTGCCAGGCCATCACAGTTGTTAGTGTTTTGCAATTTGAAATGTATTCTGCTTATTTTTCTAAATACGAAGACTTAAATGAATTTGGATCCTTCTCAAAAGGAGGTTTCTTCCTTGCTCTTCCCACCTTCTCCAACAGTGTTCTGCTTTTCAAGGAGCTGAGGTGGGGAGGGGACACCTCTGTCCCTTTAACAGGCAGTCCGTATCTATGAGGCTAGAGAATATTCACTTAGACTGATGGGGAGCCAGCAGATTCTTGCCTAGGTGAGGTCATTGCTGTGCCACATGCCCTGCCCCTTCTCGTGCAGAGAACTCGGAAATGAGAGCTGTGTAATCTGTCTGTTCCCCCTCTCCAAGAGTTGTGGTTCCCCACCTGATCCTCCTCCTCCTGTCTGGGGGCTAAGGGGGCCTGGCATTTCAGGCAGATTGTTGAATACTGTCCCATCTCCATCCTGCCCGACCTTGATAGTAAGTTAGCCCGTCCCCCAAATAACTGTCTATATTAGACACCCCCAGCCAGTTTCTGGCTGCCTGTCTTTGCTGCCATGTTCTTTTTTACAAGAAGGAAAGAAACAATTCTTGCTATTTTTTTTCATAATTTACTATTTATGATGTATTTAAGTGTTTTATTCAGGACAGAGTTCTGTAGGGAGTGGGAGGGAATATTTGAGGGGGGCTGGGTCTTAGGGAAAGGAATGGGGAATCAACATTTTTATGAAGTGTCACTATTTGCCTCCACTTTGTATTGTTCAGATACGGCAAATGCAATATAAAAGTGATAAATATCTGGTTTTAATGTATTAAACTTTCATCAGTTATTTAGACCTCTTGTTTCTTCCTGATTTCTTTTTCATACACCATCTGCTCCAACCTCGTGTCCCAGCTCGGGCCGTGTTATTTATGTTGTTTCCCTGAGCAAATGCAGCCTCCTCGCCAGTTGCCTTCAGTCTGGTGCAGGCCTGTGCTAGCTTCATTCCCTACCTTCCAGCCACCTCTCCACTTGATCAACTTCACCTTGAAAAGCTGTGAATGAATATGAAGGGATTACTGTTGGTCTGTTGCCTGAGTTGCAACCTACTTTAACTGATGAATCTGGGAATCCAAAGGAGGAAAGGAGGAGGCACAAAAGCTTGAGATCATTTGGCCTTTCCCTCTTTTTCCCTCCCCTGACCTGGTGCTAAGGTGTCACTTTGAAGACCACAGGGACTGTTTCCTTCAGTTGTTTTCCTCTTCTGTGAGGTTGAACTTCGTTATTAGTTAGGCTTTTTTACTTGGATGGGAATCTAGACCAAAGAGCGGGTGCCTGTTCTAAGTCATGTGGGCGGGGAAGTTTGGAGAGAAGCAAGTTAACTAACTAGTGTTCTTTCCACAGCACTATCCCTTATTTTGTTAAGATCATTCTGCGAATATTTCTGCAGCACCTAATGAGCAATTCACTGGGTAGTTGGAGGTCAAAAGAAGTAATTGACCTTCAAGAGTTTACAGGAGGAGCACACACATATTTGTGTATACACAAAGACGTTTTAGATGGATTACAGTTTAGGATTTCAGTTCTCTGAGAGAATGGTACAGAATATATTAGGTGGAAGAAAATTAGAGGTTAGTGTGGACTAGAAGTGTTGGGGAAAGTTGCACATGAACGTATGAGAAGGGTTCTATTTTTAGAACAAGGGAGAACCCACACTGGAACAATGGTGGAGGAGATCTGAGTAAGAATCTTGGCGTAGGTGGAGGTGGAGGCCTCACTGATAGCTAGACTGAGGAATTGTTTGGGGTTTTTTTTAAGATTTTATTTATTTATTTGACAAAGATCACAAGTAGCCAGAGAGGCAGGGAAAGCAGGCTCCCCGCTGAGCAGGGAGCCTGATGCGGGGCTCGACCCAGGACCCTGGGATCATGACCTGAGCCAAAGGCAGAGGCTTAACCCACTGAGCTACCCAGGCACCCCTGAGGAATTGTTTTTTAAGATTTTATTTATTTGAGGGGCGCCTGGGTGGCTCAGTGGTTGGGGCCTCTGCCTTCGGCTCGGGTCATGATCTCGGGGTCCTGGGATCGAGTCCCGCGTCAGGCTCTCTGCTCAGTGGGGAGCCTGCCTCCTCCTGTCTCTCTCTGCCTGCCTCTCTGCCTACTTGTGATCTGTCAAATAAATTAAAAAAAAAATCTTAAAAAAAAAGATTTTATGTATTTGAGTCTGAGCAGGATGGGAGTATGCAGAAGGAGAGGGAGAAGCAGACTCCCCACTGAGTAGGGAGTCTGACCTGGGATTTGGTCCCAGGACCCTGGCATCATGACCTGAGCCAAAGGAGGACATTTAACTGACTGAGCCACCCAGGTGCCCCTAGGCTGAGGAATATTTTATTTTATTTTATTTGACAGATTGAGATAGCGAGAGAAGGAATACAAGCAGGGCTAGTGGGAGAGAAGGAGCCCGATGAAGGGCTCGATCCCAGGCCCTTGGGATCATGACCTGAGCCAAAGGCAGACGCTTAATGACAGCCAACCACGCATTCCAGGAATTTTTTTATTTCAAACTGTAGGAAGTGAGGAGCTGTAGAATGTTTTTTGCCTCTAAGTAGAACATGATCAAAATAATTCAGACTAATCTGTTGACAGAGTTCTGTAAAAATGGATAGAACAAGCAGATTAGACATAATTTAGGTGTGAAGTGGTGTGGGAGGCTGGAGGTGATGATAAAACTATGATACAACAAGTAGTAATTGGAGTGAAGGAGGAACTGGGGATTGTCAAAGTTTTGAATTTGAGTTTAAGCCACTCCTTTAGACTGGATAAGGAGAAAATTCTTTCCCTAACAGGGATTGGATCCGAACATGTTTTAGGCATACGTGGTCTTTCTGCCACCGTTACCTGGTCACTCCCTCTTCAACTTACCCATGCAACTGCTGAGTGTGTGCAGTAAATACCCTCTTACAGTCAGAGGGTCCCTCTAGTGGTGAGCCCCAATCGCTAGCTACTTCTAGAGAGGAACCCTGCAATCCCAATGCAGGTAGGGCCTGCTAGGGGAAGACTGCTGTAACTAGAAGTTAAGGAAACCAAATGAGACCATAAGATAATAAAGCTGGAGGGTCACCTGGGTGACCCTTTGGCATCTGACTTCAGCTCAGGTCACCATCTAGGGATCTTGGGATTGAGCCCAGTGTGGGACTCCCCACTCAGAGAGAGTCTGCTTCTTCCTCTGCCTCTGCCCTAACCCCCTGCTTGTGTTCACTCTGTCAAATAAATGATAAAATCTTAAGAAAATAAAATACATTCAAGATTAAACTGTATTCTTGGGATGCATGGGTGGCTCAGTCTTTAAGTGTCTGGACTCCATGTTCTTAAATACCTTCTTGCCTCAGGACATTTCCACTTGCTCTTTCCCCAGGTATTCTTTGGATCTCTGT